TTTTTTAAAGATCTTCCGTAGGAAATGTACATGTGTATTTCTATATACTTCCTTTTAAATATGTACAACAAATTCTGTTGATATAGAGAAAGTAACACTGTTTATACACGTATGTAACGCGGTCTTTGCTTTAGACTATGCCCAACACGTGTGTTTATTGTCTCGACTGCACTGTTCAACAGAAACGATATCAAGTAACCGACCGCCTCCTGGTAATGAAAACAATTCCACCGATAGATGGTGCTTGGTGAATCCTCATTATTTGACGTCATGGGCAAGACATTCACAATATACGGAGGCTGTTATACAGCCTCCGTCTAAAAACGAGAAACAAAAACAACTAGCACTACTACTAAACACTATATATTTACAAAGTTACATGTTGAGTTTGAAATTTATATAAACACTAGTAAAGAAAAAAATCCGGACCGCTATGAAATACGTCCGGTTTATCGGGTATACTCAGGTGAAGTGCGATTTACATAATTGAACAAATTAATTACGAATTGAACGAATTAATTACGACATTTAGTAAATCGTACATTGTTTCATTCTCTCAAAATGACGTAACTATACTTGATAAAGAATAATCAAAGAAAAATAATATAGAAGGGATATTTAAACATATGAATTAAGATCTGTTATAAATTTGAGAATGTTTTAGGACTATTTATCAGGAAGAAAAAATTTAACATAGGCGTAAGCAATACATAGGTATGCGGGTTGTTCGAGAGTTCTTAACGCGAATTCACTGTTGAGTTTACACTAAACTGAGAGAATAATCTTGTTTAGTATCATCAGGAATTGGGTCTAGTTTACGTTCATTCTGGTGAAGTCATTCAGTTTGTTAATACTATTAGGGAATGAATTCAATCTGTGCATCCAGAACTTTTCTTTGCTTTTTCTCTGAGCGTCTGTCGATCTTGGGTTATGGTCAATCACCACTACTGTCATGTCCTCCCATTTGTGACCCTCAAGGTTGAAATGTTCCCCAACGGGTTTGAGTTTTTTGATTCTAGTGGTCGAACAGTGGTTATTGACTCTTCTGCGGAGATCTCCTGTTTCACCAATGTACTGTTTGGAGCAAACATTGCAACTGATGAGAGGTACAGTTGTCAGTATGACAGGACAAATTCCTTAGTATTTTGCAGCTGCGGCCTGTAACGGGGCTGTTAAAACTGTCTGTGTCAGTGCTATGCTTACAAAGAAGTTCTGTCAGAGCAAGTTTTAAAGTCCCCGTTAGGTAATGGGTTGTCCAATCTGGTTCTTACTACCATGTCCTTTAGGTTCCTTGGGCGTCTGTATGCAGCCAGTGGGGGTTCCTTAAAGACCTCTGCCATTCGTTTGTTTGAATGGAGAATTGGCAGGTTCTTTTGAAGGATACCGCTAAGGTTCTTAAGGACGGGATGGTATGTGGTTACCAGAGGGACCCTGCCGCTATTGTCTTTCTCCTTATAGCGTAATAGGCTTTGCCTGTCATGTCCCGCCATCTCATCAATAGCAGTTTGTACGGTGTGGGCATTGTAGCATCTTTTGCATAAGTGGGACTTAAGAAGACCACTTTGCTCTTGATATAAGGCAGGGGACGAACAGATGCGTCGAATTCTGGTGGTTAGACCCTTAGACGCTCCCTTAAAAGTGTGTGGGGGATGAAAGCTAGTGGGCATCAGATATAGCTGGGAGTCTGTGGGTGTGGAGACTGAATTCGATATCACCATCAATCAGGGTAGAGATAGTATCTAGAAATACGTTTTTCGAATTAAATACGTCTACTGTAAATTTGATAGACTGATGAAAGGTGTTGGCAAACGTAATTAATGCCTCGAGGCTCTCGCGACATTCCACCCACTTCATCTCTATATCATCAATGAAACGCAACCAGCTAGCTATGGGGCCTAAATGGTGCTTGAAGTAACAAGTTGTGTTCCAGTCTGCCCATGAAGACATTGGCATAGGACGGTGCCATTTTCCTACCCATAGCAGTGCCATTAACCTGCAGGTAATGTTCTCCATTAAACATGAAATTGTTGAACTTGAGAACATGTTCAAGGAGCTTGGCAAGGGACTCGGTAGAAGGAATTTATATGGATCTACTATCCCAGACTTCTCTACAGGCTTCGATACCCTCATCGTGCGGAATATTGGTGTACAAAGATGTGACGTCCATAGTCACGAGGAGGGTATGATCTGGGAGGCCAGTAGAGGGCGTCTTGTTAATGTAGCCCGTGGTGTCCTTGAGATAGGATGGCAAATTCTCTACGTGTGGACGGAGATGTATATCAATGAATTCAGAAATTTTCTGGGGTGTCCAATTGCGCTAACTATGGGGCGAACTGGCATGCCTTCTTTGTGTATCTTAGGAAGCAGATAAAATTGTCCTGGTCTACAGTCAATAGGATTTAACGTTTCATAGACGTTGATACCAATCTCATTTTGCTCAAACATGTCGTCAAGTGATTTGGTAATGGCAGAGGAGAATTCCTTAGTAGGGTCAGAGTTCAGTTTCTTATAGAAACGTTCGTCTGAGAGTTGACTTTGGGCCTCCGCCATGTATGTCTCTTTATCCAGTACTACAACTGTAGAACCTTTGTCTGTTTTCTTGATTACAATGTCATCCCGATTTTTTAATGATTGTAGGGCAGATCTCTCTTCCGTACTCAAATTGTCGGGAGTCTTGTCTGGTATTGAGAGGAGCTTCTCTATGTCTGACTCAACGACGTCAATATACGACTCAAGGGCGCCACATTTGCCCGGTGCAGGTTCCCAGTCACTCTTGGGCCTATGGAGTTTGTGTTCCTCTAGATCGTGTAAATCTGGCTTGGAAGAGTCGTATGAATCTACTTCGGAGTCTTTTCTAGAGAAGTGCTCTTTCAAACGAAGTCTCCGGAAGAATGCTCAGGTGTCCTCTCTGACTTGTTTTTCGTCAGCCTCATGTGGCGTGGGACAGAAATTCAGCCCCTTGGAAAGAAGTGAGGTCTCCGATTCGGAGAGAGGAGCACTAGATTTATTGAGCACTGGGCAGACGTCAGGAGTTTGTATGGGTCCGTCACACTCTAAGTAGGTCTGTAAATTGGAGACCCGGTGTTCAGTTTTTATTGATTTTTGGTGTTCTTTCTTTAGAAGTTTGAATGTTGCGGTATCTTTAATAGACATATTTGAAAGGAAATTATAATTGCCAAAATGATGACTACTTTTTAGTTTTTAGTCGAGTAAAGTCGAAAGATTCAACGAACGATTGTACTGTATTTTTACGCATTTCCAGAGATAAATCGTACAAGAACTTAAAAATTTAAAAACAAATGGTAAATAATTAAAACTCGAAAGGGAAAAGTGGAAAGAACTAATTTGCAATGTTTGGATACAATAGTGTGTGTGTGTGAGGGTGTGTGTGTGTGTGTGTGTGTGTCAAAAAGACTGTTTTGTAAAATTACTGTTGTTAATCATAATTAATTTTTTTTTATTTATTTTGTTAATCGAAGGTGCATTTCTATTTTTTTAAATGGCATTTAAACAGTTCTGATTTGAGAATGTTCAAAATCAAAGATAAAGGTTGGGTTTTTTTCTGAAGGACGAGGGCTAATTTAATAGCAAATTGATTTTTTTTTCAGTAAAATTTTTCAAATATTCTCTTAGTAAATGAAAATTTTATTTTTGTCCCCCGTTTTTGCGAAAGTTGGGGGACAATAAATCACACTCTAAGTAGGTCTGTAAATTGGAGACCCGGTGTTCAGTTTTTATTGATTTTTGGTGTTCTTTCTTCAGAAGTTTGAATGTTGCGGTATCTTTAATAGACATATTTGAAAGGAAATTATAATTGCCAAAATGATGACTACTTTTTAGTTTTTAGTCGAGTGAAGTCGAAAGATTCAACGAACGATTGTACTGTATTTTTACGCATTTCCAGAGATAAATCGTACAAGAACTTAAAAATTTAAAAACAAATGGTAAATAATTAAAACTCGAAAGGGAAAAGTGGAAAGAACTAATTTGCAATGTTTGGATACAATAGTGTGTGTGTGTGTGTGTGTGTGTGTGTGTGAGTGTGTGTGTGTGTGTGTGAGGGTGTGTGTGTGTTAAAAAGACTGTTTTGTAAAATTACTGTTGTTAATCATAATTAATTTTTTTTATTTATTTTGTTCATCGAAGGTCCATTTCTATTTTTTTAAATGGCATTTAAACAGTTCTGATTTGAGAATGTTCAAAATCAAAGATAAAGGTTGGGTTTTTTTTCTGAAGGACGAGGGCTAATTTAATAGCAACTTGATTTTTTTTCAGTAAAATTTTTCAAATATTCTCTTAGTAAATGAAAATTTTGATTTTTGTCCCCCGTTTTTGCGAAAGTTGGTGGACAATAAATCTCATTTGCTTGCTAGTCTGTCCATCTGTCGCAAAAAGTTTATCCTTGGTCATAACTTTTGAATGAGGAGAGAATGGCTTTCATTTTTGTCCCCCGCTTTTGCGAAAGCAAGGGGACATTAAATCTCATTCGTCTTTAACTCTGTTTGTCTGTCACAACAACTTTAACCTTGGTCATAGTTTTTGAATGAGAGATGATAAGACTCATATTATATACATGTGTATTACCTGTGACAAAACTTTAAGTTTCTATATGCACTATGATTTTTGACCCTGTGTTCTTGACCTTGGTGTGTTTCCTACTTTTCAAAAAAATTTAAATATTATTTTATTTTTGAAAAATTACTACAAACTCAGAAACAATCTTAAGCTAAAAACCTACGTATTTCGTGTTTCTATGCTTCATTTGATATAACTCCCCCATCAACCAATCGGCTTTGAAAAGGTGTCCAATAAGCGATGACATTGCTTCACGCCGATCGGAATGAAAGGCGGTAAGAAGCAGTTAACTGAGAACAGTAATAATTCTGCCAAATCTACTTATTCATCAAAAGTAGTACAATGTGTCTGCAAAATAAAATTATATAAACGAATAACTGGAAGGTTGTGATATTGTTAAATCTTTGATATGCATAAATGTTTTTTTTTTCTTCCAGGTGGGAGTGAATCCATTGAAAATGTTTATGATGATGTTCCTTTAGACGACTTCAGAGCAGCTAAAAGGTACAATTGATTGATTGCGATATTTTTTTTTCTTGTTTTAAAGTAAATTATTTAATATTACTTACATCATGTGTTATTTGCCTTTGAAATACTGATAAAGACACTCTTTTCCTCATAATTTCTTACTTTTTCCAACATTATACAGTTGGTACTCAAAATTTACTTGTATTTTATTACTGGTAATTGCAGTTGATTCTCATACTCACTGATATTTGCTGAAAAATTACTTGTACTAGGACATGTTGATAAAATCTGAGTTCAATTTTCTGGACAAACATGTACAAAAGGACCTAATACTGACCGGAAATGGGAGGGCGTTATCGGATGGGAATGTGAGGAATGAAATACCATAAAAAATACTTTTTTGAAATGATGTAAGAATTTATCACATAGCAACATCATGTGGCCTTAAATGACCCCACTGATTTAGAAATAAAAATGTCAAGGTCACGAATTAAAAAAATTCTGTTTTAACTCGAGAAGCCGTAAACCGTTTCAATTTTGTAAGGTTTTGCAAAAAATTGTTTGTTCAAAACTCCACATGTCCTAAGAAAGATCTCTACGTCTTAAAGTCAAATGGACTCGTAAATTCTGTTTATAACACTTTTGTTTCCACGCGGTTAGAGCTTTTGCAATCAAATTTTATACCACAACTTCCTATGGCCTAGGGAATTCCCCTTTTTTAGGTTAAAGGTCATGGCCTAAAATAATATTTTCTGTCTTTTTGTGAAACGTTATTTCCTGGGGATTTATCAAGAAGCTTTTGCAATGAACTTTTATATCATAACTCCCTGTGGCCCCGTCCACACATTCAAAAAATACCCCTGCCGACCCCTTAAATCTTGACCTGTCTGTGTTCTTTTTTCCTTAAGAGGAGACACAGATTCTCAAAATTAGCTTATTCTGATGTAGTTACTATTTATAAAAAAGAATCTTCATAGCCTTTTCCCATTCTCGGCTATAAATTGCAATAGAATTCATTTTGAATATACCATAAAAATAGGGTAACTATGTTGCTAACAATCTTATTTGAAGCAATAAATCCAGTACATTTCTTTAGTTGTACTGTACTATAGTGCGACGAACAGTAAAAATATATATATCAAGGATTTTTTTCTTATTAGTAGTTCAGAATGATATTGCAAGTTTATGGGTCTACGATCATGATGATATAAAATGTAACATTAAAATTACGGTCATTTTTGAATGTAGCAATAAAGAAACGCCATTGAATCAAAGGATATAAATTTCTTTGCTGTTCCAAAATTTATATAAACTCATATACTTTAATTATTTATAAATGTATATACTTTACTAATTAATATACCGGGGTATTAATTGGTTATTTAAACAATTTCAATTCAAAAAGTTATCCAATCGGAGCTGGTAGTGAATATATGCATGTGTGTTTGATTTGCTCTTCACTAATATTCTAAGAAAGTCTTACTTGCATCAGTTATACTAATTACTTACTATCTGCATTTATTGTTAAATAAAATATAAGAATAAAATGTTATCATGCATGATTCATGGTTTGTTGGCTTTAAAATGTGTTACTTAGCATGTATGAAGTTGCCAAAATGACTTTGTGAATAAAAAGAAAAATGTGTAAATTTTACACTTTAAAGTGTAAATTTTACAGATTAATGTGTAAATTTTACAGATTAATGTGTAAAATTTACAGATTAAAGTGTAAAACTTACACTTTAAAGTGTAAAATTTACAGATTGATGTGTAAATTCCAGAACCATACAGATTAATGTGTAAATTTTACAGATTAAAGTGTAAAATTTACAGATTAAAGTGTAAATTTTACAGATTAAAGTGTAAAATTTACACTTTAAAGATCAAAGTGTAAATTTTACAGAGTAAAGTGTAAAATTTACAGATTTAAGTGTAAAATTTACAGAATAATGTCTTGAATTTACAGATCAAAGTGTAGAAATAAAAAAAAAAAGTGTCCAAGTGGCACTAATACGCTTCCGTATCTGGGAGACCCGATGGTGGGAAAAACTTGTGCTAAATAGCGGTATTCCCGGCCGCATAAAAACTGCAAATTTTATCCACACTGGGAAATACTGGAAAATACAAAATTTCAGAATTTATTTCAATCTCATACTATTAATTAAAAATCTATGAACATAAGAAACTTGTTATACTCCTTCTCTTTACACTGTAGACGTTAGATGTAGATGTTGGTGTAACTAATTGACTGTTGACGGTTTCGGAATCATGTTTTGAGCAATATAATTGCTTTGAGTAGAAAGTTGAAAGGCTCAACTCCAATATAAGGATAAAGTAGTACTTTGACTGAAGCAATATTAACATATTCATACATCACTGTATATTGTAGCAATGTTATAGAGTTAATTATTTCTACATTCCACACATATGGATTTACTGTCGACCAGGGAAGGTTGACGGTTGACAGTTGACAATTCCCTGTGTGTTCTAGTGTCGACCGGGGACAGGTCGACAGTTATACATTGACACTTCCCATGTGTTCTAAAATATCGACCAGGGACAGGTCACGGTTGACAGTTGACATTTCACTTATGTTCTAGTGTGACCGGGGACAGGTCGACGGTTGACATTTGACACTTCCCTTGTGTTCTAGTATCAACCTGGTAAAACAGGTTGACGGTTGACAGTTGACATTTCACTTGTGTTCTAGTGTCGACCGGGGACAGGTCGACGGATTAATGTGTACACTTCCCTTGTGTTCTAGTGTCGACCGGGAACAGGTAAAACGATTGACGGTAAAATTGACACTTCCCTTGCGTTCTAGTGTCGATCGGGGACAGGTCGACTGTTGACAGTTGACACTTCCCTTGTGTTCGGGGACATTAACCCTGATCACAGCTATAAATGCAAAACTAACCCTTAATACAGCTATTGATACAAAACTAATCATAATCACAGCTATTAATACCAGACTACAATAATAAACTTGTCAACAATAAAATGATTAAATGTCAACTGTCAGCTGTCCCCGGTCGACAGTAGAAATGATTAAATGTCAACTGTCAACTGTCCCGGTCGTTACAGTAGAACCGAATCACTACTTCTATATACACAAGCTTTCGCATAGGGACTACAATCCCTTATATTGGAGTTGACCCAACTGAAAGGCTTCTTCTTAGGTTTGGTATTGTTCTACACTTAAAAAATTTCGCAGATCCTTCTTTATTTACCTCAAAAATCCAACCCGGATATCTGTATGTTCATTCACATGGACTGTTGTACAAGTTTAATTTTTTCTAATTATTGAAAATGAAAATGGTATTAGGAAATTATTATTTTTAACATGGACAGATCTTAGTATGGAACGCCTCCGTTGCCATATGTGGAGAACATTCATAATAATTATTGCTGATGATACTTAAACATTAATATATGCTGATACCTCAACATTATGTATGCTAATACTTGTACTGTGGCAACGCACTTTGAAAAATTACGCACTTTAATAATTTTTTTTTTCAAAGTGCGTTATTTTGGGACAAAACAACGAACTTTGGAAAAAATGTTTCAAAGTGCGTTGTACTTGGGACCAAATCAACGCACTTTGAAATTTTTTTCAAAGTGCGTTAAGAATGTACAGCATAATTTTTTACCATGTACACACTTTACGCACTTTGAAAAAATGTGTATAAAACAAAAAAATTGGACTTAAATAGTAATCGACAACATTACTATCCCCTCGCAACGTTTGAGGTGATATAGTAAGTCAATTATGTGTGTTAGTGTGTGTGTTAGTTTTTCCCTTGCTAAATGGAAGTGACGTAATTTGCATCGGGGTGGATATCAAATACTGCCTTGATTTATAGAATATGCTTTTTAGAAAGGAATGCTCCGCTTTGCGGTGCCCTTGTAAAAGTTCCATTCGAATGAGTATTCTGGCTAATGTTTTTATACCCGCACTTTTTAAAGAAGTTCGGGTATATTGTTGTTACTCATGTCCGTCTGTCACACTTTTCTTCCCTGTACTCCTCCTACATTTTACACAGTAGCCTAATCATCTTTTGGGAGATGGTTGGTGGTGTTATGCAGATGTGCAGTAAGGTTTCGGTTTCAGTAAGGTTAGGGAGATCAGACCCCCCCCCTCTGGAATTTATTTACATAGGACTGTACATACTGAAGCAAATAAAAATGACTTTTGACGCCCCCCCCCTAGAAAACATAAACCCCCCATCATTGTTTTTATTTTGTTTATTTATTTTTGCTCACCTGAGCCGAAGGCTCAAGTGAGCTTTTCTGATCACATTTTGTCTGGCGTCCGTCTGTCTGTAAACTTTTCACATTTTCGACTTCTTCTCAAGAACCGCTGGGCCAATTTCAACCAAACTTGCCACAAAGCATCCTTGGGTAAAGAGGATTTAAGTTTCTTCAAATGAAGGACCACGCCTTTATTCAAGGGGAGATAATTGGGAATTAATGAAAATTTGGTGGCATGTTTTAAAAATCTTCTCCTCATGAACCACTGCGCCAGGAAAGATGAAACTTATGGGGAAGCATCCTCAGGTAGTGTAGATTCAAATTTGTTCAAACCATGACCCCCGGAGGTAGGACGGGGCCACAATGGCCGACCAAAGTTTTACATAGGAATATATAGAAACATTCTTCAAAAATCTTCTTCTCAAGAATAGAAAAGCCATAATTCATCATATTTATATGGAAGCATCTTCAGGTAGTGTAGATTTAAGTTTGTTCAAATCAACACCCCCAGGGGAAGGTGGGGCCACAATGGCCGATCAAAGTTTTACATAGAAATATATAGAAACATTTCTTAAAAATCTTCTTCTCAAGAATAGCAGAGGTGTGAATGATCATATTTGTATGGAAGCATCTTCTGGTAGTGGACATTAAATTTTGTTCAAATCATGACCCCTTGGGGCAGGGCGGGGCCAAAATGGCCAACCAAAGGTTAACATAGAAATACGAGGGTTGATCCAAAAGTAATGTCACAGTGTCCATATCTTTTATATTTGGCGTCATAT